TATATATAAAAATATTTGTATTGTGAACCATATAAATCCAGGAAGTTAGTTGGCGCGAAAAAGTCAATCATCGAATAAAATTAAGATATTGCTTTTATTAGAAAGAGCTGTGATTATAGATAGAGAGATGATGCATGATGATCGTATACCGCCAAGTTAGAGAATATGGGTCGTTTACCTTAGGTCCACCTGGAGTTCTACAGGAATCTTAGATGGATCAAGCATCGATTGCCACACCCCGAGTTGCATTTTGCGAGGTAAGAGGAACAGCACAACGTAGTCATTGATCTCAGGGGCCAACTTGATGGCCGGAAAGCCTGCGGAGGTATTTTTAATTATGCCTGGTTCTAGCCTAAATAACTGCGTAGTAAACTTTGCCCTCTAATCACGATTGTAAACAACATGGTCTATGTCGATACTCCTGTCTTGTCCGGACGATATGTCATATTATGCCACTGAAATTGTGTAAGTTTCTTTCAAAAACTGCCAACTATAGTTCGGTGTAGGAAATTGCGATGTCTTTGTTTAATTTCAAATTTATGTACATATACGCATTCCTACTGGGCTACGTTTTGAGGCACTTATTTTTACGTAAATCAGCATCGAAAGCAACCGATTTCGTATGAGTTCGAAATGCGGTTGTCCATTTAACTCCTGGTGATACTCGAACAAAATTCAATGTAATAACTTCTATAAAACTTAATTTTCTCCCAGTTAGCTTTTCAAAATGTAGCTCTGCGGCGGATGAAACTGCGGTAGCAAAGCAAGCTACTTAGTTTGCTTTTTTATCATTATTAACAAATTTAAAAAAAAGACGAAATTTTAAAAAAGTCAGCTGTGTCATATTATTTGACGTATTGAAACTTGGTCAAAGAAAGAATCAGTTGTGCGACTAGCGTTAGATCTCTGACTCTTACGCGTCTCAAAAATCCGAGAAGTGTAGGGAGAATAAGATTTTAAATCAACATTTCCTTGCTAGAATAACCCGTACTAAAATGCCCGTATAGCGCCGCCTTTCTATTTATATATATGCATGGTTCCTACCGTATCGTGGTAAATATGGCGAACAACGGTACCAACGGCAACAACACGACAACCATCGGGCACGCCTTCTTCTTTAGTCGACAAAACGCTACTTGCAGAAGTTTGCCAACATCTCAGCAGCAGAAGGAACAAACGATAATAACAACAACCTCTACGGTGGCAACAGTAGACACCACGTGCTGACTGACAGGCCTTCATGTGCGCAGTGCCATGCGTCACTTTCTCTTTCCACAAGGATTTTTTTTACTCTGCCTGTAATAGTGCCGAACTTCTTTCCTGACGCTTGCATATACACGCGTTACTGCCATAAATTGATACGGTCATCATTGAAGTACAGCATGGGAAACTTCATGCGGATGGCGTGCCTGCCTGTCTGTGGAGCTGTGCATATATATCTCAATTTATCTGTTAATCAATCTTCTTTTTTCGCCTTTTCATACGTTTTGCATACTGCCTCTTTTGACGGATCGCTGCCAAAACCGATAAAACAGGGCAAGAAAGACCGATGACGCCGAGAACGTGTGACGACATCGCTGCTACGTGTGCTTAGCCGCCGTGGCTGTCACTCTGCCAATGGGAGTTGAGGCCATAAGGGGCAAACGAAAGGAAAGATACCAACATTGATGAGACAAGCGGCCAACGGTTGCGTACCATGCACAGCAATGTGCAATTTGTAAATGTCGGGAAAAAGGGCGAATTAAGAGTAGGTGTGTTATCACTCCGAGCCGGCAGGGCGAGCCCCGCGCGAATTTTCCTTCGTGAACGTCAATTCGTGAATACGGGACGCTAAACAAGACAAGTCTGTCATAAGAGAGTTAATCATCTGCCCCGGCGGAGATTGGCAGTTGTCGTTAGAAAAAACAAACGCGTACTGTTATTTCCCCTTCTATAAATAGTAGTTACGGAGTGGACTGAGAGGAATGGGTTTGAAAGATTAAATGAAACCAAAAGAAGAGCCAGCAATATGGAAGACGGTTGAGGTGTAACGAAGCGAATTGAAAGGCAAATAGGATTAGGCAACAGCAGCGAGTTATGATACCGACTTGTTGGGTCAGATAGTTCTCGGGCATACCAAGAAGTTCTCCTTTTTAAGTTACAGATTTGATTAATGGCTGTCTGACTGATGCCCGGCTCTGAGAAAAAACAGGCTGGCAACGTGACAGTATGTAATGACGGGGCGGGATGTATAATACGCTGTATTTTTTAACGAACAAACACGTATGTTTTTACTGTTTTTGTGCTGTTTTTGTGCTTCTAACGAACACATCGAAACAAAATTCTTATGTAACTGGAAACCCGTCCAGAAGTAGTCATCGTAGTTGTGTGAAGAACGTGACAAATCTTCTTTACTTAAATGATGGTCATGTCTATACAAGATGGGTCTCTATTATGTCCGGGAAGTCGTTGCTATTGCTCGGCAGGGCCAGAACTATTAAGCCTTCAAGAAAAAAAGAACAATTCTAATACGTTGAACAAAACAGAAGCCCTATAAAATATGGACGAAATTCTGACGACTTTTAATAACAAAAAATCAGGTTTTTCCATTTCAAATGAACAGTACATGCACCACACCGGTTTTGCATTAGTATAGCAAATAGTAAATTACAGCTTTACTCCATAAAAGAACAATTAAAATTGTAAAACTAAGGGGTATTCATCTTTATTAGCTAGTCTTAATAGCTAAGCGAACACGTGTCGAATGCGGTGTTAGCAAAGGCTCTAAAATACCTAGTTATAGCAACGGTGACAAAAGAGCAAAAGGACCAGTAGGAGGAAATACTTCTTAAAAAAAAAGGTGTCACATCAATTTTACTTGAAATTACGACTCTTCGAAAATGACATTCATAGATAATATATAGATAACGAGATGAAGCCTGACGTAATACTAAAAAAAAAAAGCTCTAGCTAATCGTGTGCCTTCGTCTTTTTGCTTAAAAATTAAATTACAGATACACCGCAATAGCAAAGGCGTCAGCCGAGAAAAGCGCTGGAGGTAGCATGTAATATATTAGTCAACGATTGCTAACGACTGTAAACAGATTTCTTTGGCAAAATTTATTACCTCTCTTCTGAGCTGAAATCGCTCGCGCTGACGGCCAATCTAAAAGCGTGGTCGATACGTCGAGCGCGTTAGACTCAACGCAAAATGGCAGATATACGTAATATATCAAGCTGATTTTCTCACCCAACGCATTGCCAGTTGCCGCTGTGATCACGCCTGTTAGCCATTGGTCAATGTTACAAGTCACAAAAATCCAATCTATCCACAAACGGAAGCGGCGCCTTCTCTTTATGAAGTTCGTTTTCGGACGCTAGCCGCCGTACGTATATGACGTGCGTCACATGATCGATGCGTCAGGTTTTACGAAAGCGTATACCGATTATAGATTCAAACTGCTATGTTACGCTACTGCTTTTCGACCACACACGATCTGGCATCTCTGTTTGCTTGGGCTGTGATGAATCGAGCCTATCGCGACGATGTTATTTTTATTAGTAATCGATTGTTAGTGGCACAAAGCACAATGACCTTGCGTACTTAGCGAAAATCTGCTTCTATCTGAAATGGATTGAAGCAAAGGATAGGAAAGACAAATCGTTTCAGATGTCTGAGGTAGCATGAGAAGGGCGCCGGTGACCGGTTCAGAAGTGATGCCTCATCACCCATCGGTCAATCTGCAAAGCTTGCTTATTGCATACAGGGCAAAGTGGAGCTTTCAATCTTAATATGATCGAGGATGTTAGATCACAGGAGACTGCCTCGAAATTGTCGGTCGGAAATAGCCAGCTTGGATTTCTCTTATCATGCGCGACGCTTTCAGTCGCTAGTCAAGCACCAAGGCTGTCTTTTGTCTGACCGCTATATTTAGCGCGTTGTCATTAAGCTGAAGCTGCCAGCCAGCCAGCCAGCCAGCCAGCCAGCCATCCAGCTAGTTACATAGGTGTTTCGGATTTTTCAACTGGTGTTGCCATCAAACATCGCTTCAGGCTAGTAGCTTTTTTCAGTAGAAGTGTATCTACGCTCAATTACTACGAAAAGCTATTTTTCGTAGGCAAACACTGCAGGTATCACTGCAGCATAACGAAGCCGCCGGGCAGACAACCACTTATACAAATTGCTGTTTAGGTTTGTTTAGACTTGCCTACTTTGTCGCTCCATAAAGTCAATAAATAAAATTAATAAATAGGCAGAAAAAATCCCAGAAATGGTTTACATTTCTAAAGTCAAGAGAGACCGACCCAAATTCTTGGCGAACAACTGCCAAAAAGAGCTGCATCTACAAGCTCTTATTCAGCGGCCTCCGAAGTTGAGCCTACCGAAATCCGCTACCAGCTGAACAATACGGATTTTTCGCCGTTCGATCGACAACGCCAACCAGTATTACACTGCGAAAATCGGTACGTCAAAGAGAATTACGCAATTGTACTGATGGAAGATCTACTATAGAGAAAGCGGACAACATAGACGGTGGGGACACTGAGAGCGACGGCGTAATGTAGGCAACCACACAACCGGATTTGCCTAGGAGGACAACCTAAATCGCTTGCCTTTTTCGCTTTTGATCAATGCCCAGCCTATGAACACCAGACATCGACGACCCTTTGTAAAAATGGGTTTGTAGAATATGGTGGTCACGTCATATATAGTGGGAGCTTACAGGACTTACAGGACAAGGCAGGAGCCATAATGTTCAAAAGGTTTTGCCAGAGTGACTCGTTTCATCTAAACGGAGGAAGCTTGGGTTAATTATAGGGATGACAGGCTGAACTTCTGCGAGGTACATCGAGGAAAGTGTCAGAAATACATTAATCGTTGTAGCCAAGCTTAAACGTCTGCAGAAGCTATTGAAAAGTGGACGCCACTTCTAAAAGCTAAACCAATAGCCATCTCCAAGATTCAGATTCACTAAGAAAATTTTAGTGCCTAAGACCTAATCAACCTAGTAGAGTCTTACCTATTTTAAGACTGGCAGTCAACCTTCAAACGACGACACGGAACCGACGAGTGTACCAGCTGTCCAGCGCACCATCGTTCGTCAAAAACATCTGCTAAGCGTCTCGCCAGAAACAACGCTGGCTCATTATTGCTCATTCATCAACGGGAAAAACAGACTAAAAAGAGAGAACTAGGCTAGTCGGTCTTTACGACGCCCGCTATAACCGACAGCAAGTAAAAACGAATCAATAGGATATATAGACCACAGTGTTAGTAGGTTGCCTTCTATGAGCTTCATCGGCTGATTTGCAGAACGCAAGGATGCTAAAAATAGAGTCTCATAGCCTCGTGCGATGAAGGTCTAATTGTATCAACTTTGTCAGTTTTCAACTATCGTGTTTATTAAGTTATTAAATTGATCTGTCGTAGCTATCAATGAACATAGTAAAACATATTATTGTGCTAATCACAAAATTTTATTATAGAATGTATACTTTAAAAGATACTGACGCTGTCTTATGTACATTTAAATGGAAATCTCGCACAAGCCTTGGCAATGTTTACAAAGAAGTAAACTATTGTGGCTGATTATTAAAGTACCAGTTTTTTATTATTATTCGAGCGAGCGAAACTTTTTAGATGGCTTATTATTAAAAGCGAAAAAAATAGTTAAACCTTTGACAAACATAACAAGTTCGCTGGAATAAACCGCTAGTCTAGCTATTGGCCATGGCTCTTGTTATCGAGAATATCGAGTTAAGGCCAATGCAAAGGTGCCGTTTCAACTGTGGTGACAGGTGTCCTTTTTTAAACAGGTTACGGCAATTGCAACGTACATTTTCGCAATCATCATTACTCAGAGACTAGCTGGTAATACATAGGCATCACGTATTCTTACTTGCAACTCAATACGTCAACGATAATTTCATTCACAAAACGAAGCTGCGGTCGATTTCAGTCCATCCAGTTTGTTGCCGTGAACCTCTAAAAGGAAACACCTCGCATCACGTTCCATGAATAAGTTCCACTCAGGATTCTCTCATTGACCATTTTAGGGTGGTAAGCAATGTCCTTTTCTGTTGACAGTATTATTTATAAAAGTCTGTCGGTAATATATATTTGACTTTACGGTCGAACCTAAGACGTTCGTCGCGAGGTGAGGACATTGCAACGGGACTTACGTAAAACAAAGAACTTTGTGACGATCCGCAGCGAATTAAGAAAATATAACGATTACAGTTAAATCTTTCTGTGCGACAACTTACAATCGAAGTGACAACTTTTGAGAAATTCACAAGTAGACCTGATCCAGATCTTAGTTAACAAATCAAAAATTTTAATTAATCGTCTTGTATTTCTTTATCGGAAAACCGAAGGGAACATCATGGATTGTAAGAAAAGGCCAAAAATTACTGTTCTGAGGCGCAGCAGAGACATCGGTTTGAATTAGAACAATCGGAACCGAAGTAAGTTATCAAAGAGATCGGACCAAATATAGTTGATGCAGTTGGCTTACGAGGCACCAACTTAATTAAGTAAGCTAAAATGACAGGTTAAGAAATAAAAAGCACAACAAATGACCGCTCATTTCTTGTAATAAAAATGTTCATAATAATTTGTTTTATAAAATCTGAGATTTACATAAAGATTGTTATTGAATGATACAAATTCTTCATGTTTTCCCAAATCAGATACCTGTCGAATTTTTGTCGTACATTTTCAACAAAGTGCCCGTTTCGTTTGAAACTGGAACAAAACTTAATGTTAAGGCTTGTTTCGTTCCGTCCGTAGCTCGAGGTGAGCGAAAGAGCTGATGCTATCGGGTATGTATGTATATATATTCATGTAAGACGTGTGAACACGCGCCGTCGTATGCCACGGTGCAACGCACTGTGATTCCCTTGTTAGAGTTGGGTTTCGATACGCAATGCAGTAGCTGCTAAATGACATCTACTGCGTTTATATAGCGCTTCTCGTTTTGATATGGTCCTTAGCACTGGCCCTACCGCTACTATTGCCAATATACCGTAACTGGACAGGATGTCAGATGTAGACACGGCCAGCGGCGAATTTGGCATCTTGTATGTTTGATCATTGGTGTCGCCCCAATGCTACGTTACACGTGCGGCACTTTGTCGTTCGGAGCTCTGCTTAGATCTGGGCCCTAGCCCCATCGCTAACGCTGCCCAGCGTTCTACCCGATAAGCGTTCCGTAACGTATCGGTGGACAATCTGACGTACGCCGATGTGTAACAATTCGCAGAATGGGACGGAAGAAACACTATTTTGAAAACTTATTAATTATCGATCCATAAACGTTTATATTTAGTAGGATCCGCGTGCAGTCAACTATAATATGATCTACGTTTACTAGTCGTTGGAACCGTGGCCGGTTACTAAACCGTATTGGACCATTTGATGAGGTGGGATTTTGTTGTTCATGTTTGATACACGTTATACGTTGCAGAACTAATTCAATTTTCCTGTTGTAGTCCAGTATATGTATAATAGTGACGCAATGCTATTATTAGTGAACGTCAGAAAGATCGTGGCGAGATTTGATGCTGCCGAAAAAACCGATGCCTCTTAAGAAGCTTTTCTTTCTTTTTTTGTATCTTTTAAAGTAAAAGGGCACCTAGTGCAAATGCGGTTCAACTAAAAAACAACAAATTTGTTAAGTTTAAGCTAACAAATACTTCTAAATCTTCATCCAGACACGATAATAGTCCTAGCTAGGAAGCGGCAAGACGGGACCCCGTCTGTTCTACTATTCCTTATTCTAAAATTCGTCATTGCCTATTTGTTACAATAGCGAAATAGTTTTAACATAGAGTCTTGGCCATAAAGGCTAATTATAATTACTCGACACGACGCCTCGAGACGTTCGCTTCAAGCATAGTTCCAGGCAAGATAAACAGACTAATAAAAATAATCAATATAGTGTCCTATAACTATCGTAGCGTAATCTACTTCTGCTTGCGCCAATAGTAAGTTACTAAATAGCAATGTTTTATAAAAAAAACAACTGCAGTTTGTATTCTTCACACCAGAAGACCATATGCTTATAAACGGTCCGCCTCGGGGTTATGCGGGCTGCGAGAGGCAGCGTGGAAGTATATATATATATAAGCCATGGCTGTGTCATCTCTGGTCGCGTTTACTGCATTTGTGTATGTAAGATTTTCGGGAGTTTATAACTTAAAAATATTGAATAAGGTATTATATAAGCACAACAGTTACTATTGTGCGCGTCATTGACTTCTCAGACGTCAGCTATAATGCAATGCCGCTGGCTCGTCTTTACTTGGACAAAACTAGACCATTTTTTTGCCTACTGGTGATTTACGCCTGCTCGGGCTCGCCCATCTGTCGACTTTGGTGAGTCGCGCAGTGCTCATTTCGGGGTAGTAACGAATATTTCGATGCAATTACGGTATATATAGCATAATCTTTGTATGGGTGTCGTTTTAAGGCATTAATAATTGATGGTGACACTAGTAAACGATAGCAATAGGGCGCCAATAACGGTCGAATAAAATTACATGGCAAAAAAGGGTAGGAAAACATGTTTATGAGGTCCGAATGTACGAGATATCGTGCGGTTGCGCAATTCCCCTGGCGGAAATAAGTACGAATGTGGCTTTGCAACTTTCCAATGTTTGTATTTGATCTCAAGTTTTTCTTATCGGGGAATTTAAGTTCTATGTCAGTTGAATGTAAAGTCACATTGGAGTACGTAACTGTTACCCTAATATGGCTCTCTGTTCGGATTTAGAATGGCTACGTAACAGGGGGCAATCGTCATCTGTTTTTCACTGTTCGGAAAACGAAGTTTTTCCAGGGTAATTTTCCACGACCGCTCTGATACAGGCATCCGCTTGTGTCGAATGGTTTAAATTGATCAATTTAAACCCACAAATACTGCTTAGTCCTACTGTTATTAATGGAATAATACAAAACAAATATCAAACAGTCCTTATTTTGATAGCAGACAGCACCAATTGGATGCATTGGCGCTACCAAATGATACGTTTAGGTATATAGTAATTAGAAAGATTACGCAAACAATTGAAAAATACTTTCCAATTACGGCTGGAGCGACAGTCGCCGTTCCCTGTCTACGTATCTATCGGCGACGATATTTAAAAACCCGCCCATGCACACGGTCTGCTAGCAGCAACTAACTTTGTAAGTGCACGTTATATTCTAGCATCTGATTTGCTAGGAACTTTATCTCATTGCCCTCTCCAAATTGGCATTAAGGTCTATCCGGGAACGAAAAGATTTCTTTACACTGTTCTACCTAACTCATGATTATAGTTCATTTTCGGTTTATTGACAGAAAGCCTCAGTTAGATGCAATTCCGGGAACCTTTCCTTGTTTGGTTCGATGTTTGTCCACGTACTTGTCGCATTCGGAATTCGGGAACGTCGTCAAACGTTTCCCTGACGCACAAGTATATGTACCACTACGTGATTAAGAGAAGAGATTAGGACTTCAATTGTTTAAACTATGAAGACTGCAAAATACCGTTTTATTCATGCGTGTATAGACACGCTCTTGTCGAGCCTACGTTTGTTAATGTTTAAGCAATAATCATCAGTAGTATGCATATTCGTAGCACCAGAAAGAAGCTAAAAAGTGTTCTTTACAGGTCTCCTAAATATATATAGTGATAACTAAGTAAAAATGATTTAACCTCCATTATACTGGTCAGGCAAGCTCCTGTCGCTCTGCTTTTCCCCGAGCCTGAAGTCGATATAAGGTCAAATATCTTGCGTTAAGGTGGCTTAAGATGCTTTACGGTATCTGACTGTCCTTGATGTATATTGTGACGAACTTAGATAATCACAGGCAGAAACAGTCGTTTAGTATGTCTACAAAAAGGTGTTGTAAATCTGCTTGTTTGATTGTGTTCGTGTTATTTGTCTGACAAATGTGTAATATTTCAATCAGTGTATTGGAGATGTCTATAAGAAGCGCGTTTTTGCTACTAGGAAAAACATGGACTTCACTCCTGTAATTTTGTGATTCCTGTTAAAAGTGCAGAATACAGTTTAACATGTATGCAGCATGAAAACGAAACGCGAAGACGTTTTACTTTGTTTTTTTTATATTTACACAGAATTGTTAACAAACGTGTCATGCGTCTAGACTGTGGTGATTGTCGTTAGCTTCGTTAGTAAGAGATTCTACTGCCTGAGTTGCAGGGGCACTAAATCGTTACCGTGGACATCCTTCAAATGTAATTTATCGCTTGCTATATAGAACATCCCATTTGAATATTCTTGAATAAGCTCAAAGCGTGCCGATCAGTCACTGCAGAAATTTAAAGTTTACTTTAATTCTAATCAACAT